TTATTGTCATTAACATCTCATTTTCTGTGTTGTATGATCATATTGTTTTTCCATTTATCATTTCCCAGACTACTCCATATTTTATCCTTATATTTTTCCTGATAGGTCTCTGGGGTAAACTCTTTTGATATTGGTCAATTATTTTTTTCACTTGTGCAACAAAGCCATTTAAAAAAATGACACTATCCATCCCAAACAATCCACCTCCCTTCTCACGCTTCACAGACACAAACAAACACATTCATACAGTGCAGACATGTATTATTTAAGAATTTTGTTTATAGTAGATTTAGGATACAAAAACCAACCTGTTAGCTTTTATTATTACTTTGATTTCAATCATCCTAGGAAAGTTGGGGGGGGCAATAAATCTGAGCCAATTTTCTAATTGAAACTATGATATGTAATGATGGCAGGAAAGTTTGTGTTGTTTTGGGTTGGTTTTTTTTTAAATGTAACTTTTTTTCAGGAAAGGACAATCATAAGCCACCGTAGGTTAGAACATTGGCTTAAGTTATTTAATTGCAATAAATAGATTTATGTTAATGGCATAAATTCAGACTGAGGTAGATATATCTTTGGGGCAAGCTGCTGTGGAACAGAAGAGAGGTATGTAGGTGTTTTTTTTAAGTCCATAAATTATTTCATCATTATATAAGATATCCTAAATGAGCTTTTTCAGAAGGCAACTGGATTGTTTTTTCCTTGAGGAAGAAGAACAAAACATTTCGCTTCTCATCCACCAGTTTCATCAGTTGTGATGGCAGGGGCGGGAGTAAATGGAAAGATAGGTATAACAGTTGAGATTGGATGGTGGGGGGTTGGAACAGTAGTTTCTGACCGAATGGTGGCAGAGGATGAAATGAAAGGATTGTATTTCTTTGGTCTTTATCACTCTCCCTGAGAGATCTTGAGGCCACTTGGAGGTTTATCTTTGCCCAACGCAACTTTTGCAGAGTTTCAAGAAGATTTCACAACCAATTGCACTCCGATTCAGATGATCCTGAGGGCAAAGATAAACCCCCAAGTGGCCTCAAGAGCTCTCAGAGAGAGTGCTAACGACCAGATGACTGCAAAGAAATACAATCCTTATGTTCTCCACCACGACCCGGTCAGAACCTATCCTTCCATCCCCCACTCACCCAGTCTCAATGTCAGTACTTATCCTTCCATCCCCCACACCCATGCTATTACAACTGACAAAGCTTCTTGGGTGAGAAGCAAAACAACTTCTTCCTCAAGGAAAAAAGTTCAGTTGCCTTTTGAAAAAGCATCTTTGAGACAACTCTGTCCTGGATGACTGAGAATATTCACAGACATTATATAAGGTATAATTTTGTACTCAGAAGTAGCTGCAGGACCACACAGGTCTCATTATTTTAACCTCAATAATTATTTGCTCCCTCATTACTTTTCATGTTAAATGTTCTTCATTGACAAGCAAAATTAGAATCTGGACTTCATATTATAAGTTGCTTCTTTTCTTTTTAGAAGAAACAAATATTTGGAAATTTTAGGCTGTGCAATTAATAGCGCATGCAAAGGTTTTATTCCCTCATTCAGAGATCTTTGAAAAATGTGATATTCTCCAGTCCCTCTCAACAAAATACAACCTAGCAAGAAACAATCCCACTGAGTACCATTATTTAGTTCTATTGTCAAGAAATTAAGAGATTCATAGAATGATAAAGTCAGAAGGCACTGTGGTCTTCTAATACAATCCCCTGTCCAGAGCAAGAATCCTCATATCACCCTAGGTAAATTACTACCCAATCTTTTTTTCATAAACTCCAGTGATAGAATACCCACAACTCTTCACTGTTAAAAAGCTCTCATAGTGAGAAAAGTACTCTTGATTTCAAGTTTGGACCCCCCTCTGCAAAACTTCTACACATTGATCCTTATCCTATTCTCAAGTAAATCCAAACCCTTTCCCCAATGATAGCACTTTGTATTTACTAACATACTTTCTTTAAGCTAAACATACCCAGTTTAGAATATGTTTTGGTTAATCTTCATGCATACTGTAGACATGGTACAGAATAATATCATATGCAGAATCTTGGAAACAGAATAAATCAAGTGCCAGCACTTATTTATTGTTCATTAGCTAGAACCTCTGAGAACCACTTGAACCTATTGTTTCCAGCAGTGCATCCCAACTAGTCTATTAAGAATCAAAAAAGATATGTTTCTCAAAAATCCTCTGTAAAAACATTCTGATTAACTTCCTTACAACGAGCCTGCTGATAAATAATAATACAATAGTCCTCCCTTAAAAACAATAATTAGGAACAGAATTTTCATCGCTAAGTGATGCAGTCATAAAGCATGATGTCATGTGACCATGTTGCTTAGGAACGGCAATTCAGCAGGCCCCAGTTACATTACTAAGTGAATTACTGCAGGTTGTTAAGTGAGTACTTCATGTGACCATGACTTCTGACTTAACGGTTGGCTTCTTCAATGACTTTGCTTGTGGAAAGCCAGAAGGGAAGGTCACAAATCATAATAATGATTGTGGACACCACAATCTGGGCCAGTTGCTAAGTACCCAGACCATATGCCTGCAGGGGTATTGTGATGCCCAGAATTTTGAGGATCGCTTGTAAGTACCACTCGTTCAGCACCATCATAAGTTCAGTCACTGAACAAGTGGTGATTAACCAAGAGCCACCTGTATAGCCTAAGCAGATATCACATTTAAGACAAAACAGTAACATTAAAGTTTTGAAGAAATTTGTGCTTAAGAAATAATTGACCAAGTTGTGAAACAGCTAAAAATGTTAAGTACAGTGTTTATCTTGTCCTTTTTTAAATGATCTATTACAATCAGTTTAAGTGTCTCCAACAGTATTTTATTTCTGTATTTCTTATTTGAAATAAAATATATATTTCATTACATTTTTCTTCTTAATATGTTTGTAGTAAAGGTAAAGCATAACTGAAATTGAATATGTATATTTAAATTATTACAGTTCAACTGTAAACAAAATTTGTATCCTATACATTGCTTTAGTTTCTCTTGTTTATATTTAATTCAAACTGTTAAGCAACAGTTTGTTAAATATAAGTTGTGTAAAAAAGATTTTTAAAAATGAATACAGCCTCTATCTCCAGGTCCCAGGAGCTTGCCCACTATATTCCTATAGTCACTTTATAATGTTTGTTCTGTTTCATCAGTTCTGTCCTTCTCTCTACAGGTCCAATCCAGGTGCAGCAGTAAGGAGAACATCCTCCGAGCCAGTAAGTGTTGCATCTTTGTATTCTTTGAGTGGAATATAATACCTTCATGATGAGGTATAGTTTTGCTGGAATGAATTTGGTGGAACCATAGAAAGCGATGCAACTGGACATTTTTAAAAACTATTTTTCTAGGCTTTTCTGTCTGCAGAAAACACATGGGTATATGTGAAGAGATCTCAGTAGCCAGACTGAAGGATATGCAAAATACTGTATCCAGTGATCATGGAGAGACGTTCTATGACTTGCACATTTGTAAAGCCATGATTAAAATATATACTAAAATGTAAAATAAATATTTTGTAAAGGTATGTCCACCCATCAGGATATGTAGCAGAAATTTCTGGAAGAGAAGGAGGAAGGCAGTTAACAATTTTCTGCTTTCAGGCTAGAGAGAACTGGAGAAATACAGTTTTATGTTACATGCAGAAACCTTGGACTCATACATTTCTGATCTCTCAAGCAAACCAGAAACTAACATTTATTTTCAGTAAGCTGCATATTAATTATATGTATTAACAATAAACTGATTAATTTTAATTAAGATTTACCGAACCAAGTTGCTTCATTATTGTATTTAATGCACCTTGTCAATAATGATAAACTTTGACTAGTTAATGCTAAACTATGACAAATTTATATATGTGTGAATGCATTAGAATGGACCCATGAAACAGTCATGTGTTACCCAGATTATTGAATTAAATAATTTATATAAAGCTAATTATTTTTAACTTTGTGACTAGCAGTCTTTTTATTCATTATTAGTTAATGCTTCTGTTTTCACTGTTTTGCTTTATAATTTATTATTTTAGTTGTTTTTTTATTAAATCAGTTTGTGATAAATATCATAGAATGTAATTGTTGAAGTTTGGACCATTGAATCTCTATAATAAAAGATATAAGGAAAGGGGAAGTTGAAAATTTAGGAATAGAATTCCTAAAAGAAAATTCTTATTGTCTGAGCAAAGTGTTAGAAGTTTAAACCTAGTCTAGAAATACAACTTTCATTGTTACCCAGCTGACATACACTTCAAATATTTAGTATAGAATATTCAAACATATTCCTTACAATGAGATCTCTTTTATGTTAATATAGTAAATGCAAGAAAGTAATCACAAATAATCAATGACAGATAATTTCAAGAAAGAAGATACAAATAATCAATTTTCAAAGTATTTATGAAATACTATTAATATAGATAATAAAAGGTGACCAAATTTGAGTAATTTCACCATAAGGTTTTTCAAACTTCTTTCTTGTGTCTTTTTTTAGACAGAGCTACTTCCCAAATTTGTATATCATGCATCTAGTGAAAAAGTATTTTAATTTTCAGTCTTTTGTTGTAACAAACCCAGCAATCATTGCATCACAAGAACTGAAAAAATTGTGTATGTTACATTAATATTTGCTATAGATAGTCTTAGGAAATATTGCAAAAAACTAAGAACATGATTTATATAAAAGTTAGTTAATTTTATAGCCTGTCTTTATAGTCAAGCATCCTGACTTCTCATTGGTCTTTAGCAATTGGTTCTGGTTTTGATTATTTTTTGTGCCCAATCTTGATTGGTCATTTCGGTGGTCTTGGTTTCAAATTGGTCTTTTGTTCATGCCAGTTTCTGGTTGGTCATTTTTGGAGTCCTAATTCCTGATTGGTTTTTTTTATTTGTCTTCAATTTTGGCTTCAAATTGATTAATCTGCGCAACTGAGTCCTGATTGGTTTCTTGTCCAAACAAGTTTCTGATTTGTCTGTTGCCAGTCACTTAACCCTGAAACCTAACACTGTCCAACAAATAGCATACACCAGTATAATTATCAATTATTCTTTAATGAATTTATTAGTTGCTCAACTCCAATAGATTCTGGGTAAATTGAATAATTATATCAATGTCTTCAAAAATTTATACCAGAAGGGCTGCATTTCTATGATAAAATGTAATATATACCCAACTTACATACTGATTAAAATCCTTCCATGTGAACTCAAAAGATTACAATCTATGCAGTACAGTTTTACTGGAGAATAATTCAGTATGGATTATCTTCATGGTGGCCTGCCGAAATTGATAAATAGAATTATATGTTGCTAAACATGGAGGTGAAGGCATTAATGTTAAATCCTCAATCATCTTCCTGGGGTTTTTTTAAACTTCCAAGAACTCTTATCAAAACTTGTTATTCTTAGTATATGAGTTTTATGTAAGAAATTTTTATATACTGCCTCTCCCAGATTATATCTGCCCGTCCCACCAGATCTGGCAGATCTGGCAGATCTGCTGTGGGTCCCATCTGTCAGGAAACATCACTTTTCTGTTGTAGTGTCTACCTTAAGGAAACTCCCCCCCCAAAAGTAAGGTTAACTTCATCCCCCTGGCTATGCCTTCAGGCCTCAGAAGACCAGGGAGATTTTGCAATGACCCAATTACTGTAGCTTACATCATTCTCACTAACTAACGATCAGTTATCAACAATTGCTAAGAATTACATGAAACTATACTTCTAACAAAGATTGCCAACTGCAACCCAAGATTCTCACAAGCCAACTCCAGATCATACAGTACAATATACAAAGCTAGAGCCTTTTCCAAAATGCAAGCAGGATCAAAGTATCTGGAACAGGAGGGAAAAGCTCCTGCATAGGGCAGGCACAGCAACAGAGTAGGCATGTCTCCTGAATCTCCTGAGGACACTGCTTAAATGATGGAAGGATGCCCACCCTGTCAGATTTTAATTGTTTTTACTTATATGATAAATAAATGCAGGAGAAGGTCCTTCCAGAGTGCCCTAAAGTGAAAGAAAATAGACCACTGAGATAAAGGAACTGAAACTCTTAATTACATTAGCTATACAGTTTGGTCTAGTAGCTAAGACACCAAACTAGAAACCAGCAGACTATGAGTTTTATTCCTGTCTTAGGTTGGGTGACTTGAGCCAGGTACAACTCATTTCACAGGGTTATTGGTGTATGAAAAATAGGATGAGAAAGGAGTATTATGTATGTTTACTTCCTTAAGCTTAAAAATCTAAAACAAAAAACCAAGCAGGCTGTATTCAGCTTAAGTAAATGGAAGAGTTTTCATTTAAGCAAGATTTGGGAAGTTATCTTAGAAAAATATTTTCTGAATAATATATAATTCCAAAAGAAAGCAGAGCTTTTTCCCATAGAACAGTGATGGCGAACCTTTTAGAGACCGAGTGCCCAAACTGCAACCCAAAACCCACTTATTTATTGCTGGGTTCCAGGTGGGCGTGGCCCACTGGGTGGGCGTGGCCAAGATGGGCATGATCACCTCAATGTTGCTCATGGGGAGGGACGCCTGTGGGGGCCGGGCAGGGTTGGGGGAGATCCAGGGGGTCTCTGGCAGGTGGGGCGGTGAGCAAGAGGCTTGTCCTGCGGGGTGAGGCGAGACAAGGTGAGGCAGGGCAGGGGTGCCATTGTCACAGGGAAAGGTGAGGCAGGGGCCGGGGCGGCTGCTGCCTGACACCATCGGCCCCCGCACACAAAGGCCAGCGAGTGCATGGGTGCTGGGATGCATCCAGCCATATGGGACCTTGGCGAGTTAGCAGGCAGCTGGTTGAAGAGGGACGGTTGCCATCTCTGGGGCATGGCGCATGTGCCCACAGAGAGGGCTCTGAGTGCTACCTCTGGCACGCGTGCCATAGGTTCGCCACCACTGCCATAGAATTTGAAAGTATTTTCACCTGAATAGTAGAATAAGAATGGATCCTTTGAAAAATACATTTTGTAAATAATATTATTTTAATATGTGTTTTAGTTTGATGTGCTAACCATGGTTTCTAATGAGTTCTACAACTGTTTGATGCATAGCCTTTAAACATTCCTAAGTTGGGTAACATTTTCTGTGAAAAAAATATAAAATGATCAAGCATCATGCAATCGTCTTTCCATTGTAAATTGTAGTCCTGAGTCAAATTAGATGCAATTTTACAACAATTTTTATGGTGATCGTTAAACAAATCATGTGGTTGTTATGCAAATCCAACTTCCCCAAAGGGCACTTTTGCTGGAAATCAGCAAAAAGGTCACAAATCATGATCAGGTGCCCTCAGGACATTGCAACCAGTTGTAAATCCAAGCTGGTTACCAAGGTCCAAATAGCGATCATGTGACCATAAGGGGGATTGTGATGGTCATAAAGTACAGGTACAAGTTGTAAGTCACTTTTTCTGAGGCCATCGTAATTTCAAGCAGTTGTAAATCAAGGACTACTCGTATCTACAGTTTATCAATCTATCCAGGAAATTTTAATTTTATTAAAAATTAATTATAACTTTAATGCTTCTTTGCAGGTCACAGTGCCGTAGACATTACAAAAGTAGCAAGAAGACATCGTATGTCTCCATTTCCATTAACATCTATGGACAAAGCCTTCATTACAGTTCTGGAGATGACTCCAGTGCTTGGAACAGAAATAATCAATTATCGAGGTATTTAGTATCAGTTCTGGTATCCAGAAGAAGAATAAAGAGAGAACTGTTTCATTTTCATTACGTTTATTAGGACTGAGCAAATACTTGGAAAGGTGTGCTTCACAATGCACAGAAATGTACCTCTCTCTGAATCATTAAAGCAGCCATGTTTTTTTTCTAGATCTCCACACTGTAATGTCAACGGTTTCTGCTTGTCTGCTCAGTACAGATCTGCTGGCACAGCCCTCTATGTGGAAATAGCCAGAATTAGCTTACAAAGCAGCTGCATGCATCTAGAAAAAAATATGGCTGCTTTAATGATTTGGAGAAAGATATTTCATGCATAAGCTTGCATATTGCAAAGTAATTGTTTGAAAGGATTTGCACAGCCCTAGTTTTATATTTTAAGTTATGCATAACTTATTAGAATGTTTAGAATGTTCATAGCAACAATTCTCTTGGGTTGGATAACTTCCTACTACTTATAGAAGAGCTGAATCCAAGAGATAATGGCTTGTATAATGTCTGGAATTTACCTAATGAATTCATAGCAAAAATGTTCATTAGATTTCCATTCTAGCAGGAAAATGGCTCAGGTTAAAAAAAAAGATAGGGAAATAAAAACTGAAATCTGGAACAAAGAATGTTTTGTTACCTGAAGAACAACAGAAGCAGCAGTAATTTATTATATTTGTATTGTGAGAATGGAACTACATATATTATCTAGTTGCTGCTTGGTAAAGTTTTAGCTAAAACATTTGTTTATGTCACAAGAAGTGTGTAGTAATACTATTTTCACAGCAAAAAATCCAGATTGAAGAAGAATCACAATAACAAACACAGTTATTAATCATACTTACCATCAGTTTCTTTCCCTGCTGCATGTCAAGTAAAAAAGAGAGTAAGTTGTACATTTATTTGGCATCCATGACTATGTTATAGGAAATCGCTTCCCAACAATCTGTCTAATAATATTTAGCAAAAAATGAAATAATACTGCACATGTATAGATTATCAAAACAGATACTGCATACATAACTTAACATAACATTACTATATACCATAGTAATACTGTATCCCTCTCATATATCCCCCTAAATTCAAGAAAGCAGCCTAAATCAATATAAGCAAAGTATTTTGAAAGGCTGCACAAGTAGTCCTTAATTTACAACCACAATTGAGACCACAATTTGGGTCATACGTCATTGTGATTGTCATGCAAGATGTCCATAGGAGTGCCTTGCTCAATGATCACAGTCCCAGCTCCCTGTTCTGGTCATTACGTGACCACACAGAGATGCCTCGGGTGGGGGGAGGCCCTGGGAGACCCACTGGTTCACAGGTCTTTCCCTCTTCCCACCACGCCCAGAAGGCTTAGGCCCTCCCCCTGCCCCATCATTCTCCTGGAACATTTGGGCCTTCCTCTCTCCCAACCACTCCTAGAAGACCTGGGTCTTCTCTCGATTCACTACTGGAGCACTTCACTGCTGGTCCTTATCTCCTGCCCTACCACTGGCACTTGTTCCCCAACCTGCCATTGGTGCTTGCAATGTTTCCAAACATAGAGAGAGCCTTAGAACATTTCAAGAGGAGCACCAGCCCTCGCAATGTTTTCAAAGGCTAGAAAGGGCCTCAGAAACGTCTCAAGATAAACACCAAACTTCACAATGTTCCAAAGATCTTTCTACCTTCAGAAACATGACATTTACTAGCTTTCTACAGTACCTGCACCTCACTTCTCAATAGCTGCACAAAAAGGGAAGGAAAGTAGACCTGTATATTTGGGTGGGGAAAAAGCCCAAGCCTTCCATGAGGCAGATTGAAGAATGATAGTTCTCAGGATATATTTTGGTCTTTGAACTTATAAACTTATAAAATAACTGACTTAAGATCAGGATTTTTTGAGGTCAAAACATTTTGCAAATATATCATCATACAGAAAAATCCACATTGTTATATTACTGTTCTACTTTTAGTCTAATTACAATAGCCAGTATTCTTTTTTCTGAATGGTTTTTTTTCAATATTTTAATTTAAAAAAAAAACAAAATTGTGGTATGTCTCCATGCCTCTTCACAGATTATTGAGAATAAAATTAGAAAGGGAAGTATTCAAAATTTCCTTGAAAAGAATATGGGCACGCTTAAATAGAGAAGTCAGAACTCATTTTATATTAATTATTTTTAGCATTATGCATTTAGTTCTGTGCATCTCCCTTACTCTGGCTGGCAAACTTTAGAAATTTTTCTAAATACTCCTTTATAAATATTGATAAAACTTGAAAGAGTTTTTTGAAAATAAAGTTTTTTGCGATCAGAATTTCATGTGTGCTCTCTTTTTTCCCCTGTGTTTATGTATTAGATGGAATGGGCAGAGTCCTTGCCCAAGATGTTTACGCAAAAGACAACCTTCCACCTTTTCCAGCTTCAGTAAAAGATGGCTATGCTGTCAGAGGTGAATGTTAACTATTTTGAATATGACAGGATGCTTTTTTCCAGTTCAGTATCACAGCTGAGTGCTTGTTCCTATATGTTGCCTGGAAAAGCAGGCCCACTAGCCCTCAACAGCATTTTAGTCCTTATCTTAATGAAATTCATTCATACTTATAGCGTGTATATTTAAAAGTAGGCTTCATTTATCATTACACAATATAAATTGGAAGTGATATTACAAATCAGTTAGTTTCCTTATTTCTATTTTTTTATTTATAATAAAGTTATTTTTTAAAAAAGAACAGTGCTGAAAAAGAAATTATCCATCTGTCCCATTAAATGATTTTAACTATTATTGTAGTAATATGGCCTTTAGCTGTTTCCTTTTGTTTTTAAGATTTCAGGATAATTTCATTGAGAGAAAAGTGTGTCACTGAATAAAAAATATCTAGTATATTCTGTGCAAAGCAGAAATCTATGATCCATAGACCTTTCATCCTGGATGGTTCTCAGTGAAGCATTCTGGGCATTCTTTTCATCTCCCACCACCCCCTTTTGCTTTCCTAAAACATTCTCCATAGACATAAGAAATCCTCATGAAAAGATTGGGTGTGGTTCAGGTACCGTATGAGGAGGAATGAGCAACAATCAAATTTTCAGCATATGCTCTGTTCCATGGTAGCCTCATCCCAGATCATTTCTGGTTTATTGGCTGGACATATCAATAAAAATATGGCATAAATGATAATGTTCTAAAAAGATGTTTGCCTTTTGTCATAAGTAAAAAATAATTTTGCTCCCAGAAAGTAAATCCAAGGAACATTTCTGTAAGAAATCTTAGAAGTAGGGAGTGACGCTAAGATGTTTACATAAAACAGAATGTATAATGGATCTTATGTAGTAAGTTGTCTTATACAGTTACGTTGTATATTAGGAAAGTGGTCAAATTAAAATTGTTATCCAAAAATATGTGTGGAAGAAGGAATTATAAAGTTGGAAATAGCCATAACAAAAATAATAAGCCTGATAATGCATATTTTGTTGATAACTGTAATTATCATGAACCTATATTAACTTTTAGCTGCTGATGGACCAGGGGATCGTTTCATCATTGGGGAATCCCAAGCTGGTGAGCAAGTAGGTACAATATATTTTGCTTCCCTTTTCTATTTTTTGTTCATTTATTATGAACTAGAATAATCTTGTAAAATAACATGAAACCATTCCAATGACTATTGTAAACAACACAAAGGCTATATGAATTATGGCATTTCTATAATTATATATTTTAATGTGGTGATAATTTCCTCCATGCATATAAAATCTAGCAACAGTAGTAATAGAAAAGTTATTTATCATTTGCCTATAAATAAGTTCCTATGTACATGAAATAAAAAGGCAATTACCATAATATGTTTATTACAGTCATTGGCACAAATTCCAAAATTTAAAGAAATGAAACAAATAATGCAAAGCAGTTGTAAAATCACAAAATAAGGAACCTGTAGATTAAAAGTTAGTAAAATCAACATCTATTCTTTCAAATTAGTAGGATATTTATTTATGACTTCACTAAAGGCATAAGAAAAGAAGAGCCTTAAGTTCTTGTGAGATCTATAGCATGAACATTCTCTTGTCTTGTAAACATCTAGCTCTTTTAACACTCCATTTCCTCAAGTCCAACAAGTTTATATTGTTCCCAGGCAAATCAACCTAATGGATGTACCTCCCTTCCAGTGGGTAGTTGTACTAGAGAATCCCATAGAATTCAAAGCAAAGGAGACATTGAGAGGATTCCCAATCTCAGATCACATTGCCACTGCTCTGATAGGAAGACCAAATCCAAAGTGTGATCACTGTCTCAAGTTAGACTCTGGATGATCTGGCCCATGACTATCTGACCCATGACTATCATGGAACCCATGAGCTTCCAAGCACCTCAGACCCCTTCCTAGGGAAGGTAGATTAAAGTCCTAGAACCATGAAGTTTCTCCAGAATGCCACTGCCAATCCAGAAATGGAACTCAGACAGGGAGGTTGCTATGCAGCAAGGAGGTTGGTGTAACAGCAACAGTTCCAACTGAACCTTAGAAGTCAACATAATGAACAGGCTCTCACCACCAGGAACCTATGTGGCAGGACCACCAAAAGCCATAAAAATTCCCTGTTGAAAACTGCCACTCCCCACCCCCACTCAAGAGTCTTGATTGATGCCACACTCAAAATACAGCTTGGCAAATTTCAGAAAGGACAGAACACATCCAGATCTTGCTAATAATGATAGGTTGGCTTCTTATCCAGGATCAAATTATAGATGGGGGGCGCTGGAATGAAGAACTGTTATGAGACAACAGTTTGCCAGTTCTTGATCACTCAGAATTTTCAGGGGATAAAAGGGGATGGAAGTTTATTTTCTATGCACTGTATTTGAAAGCTTCTACCGCAGTCAGCTTTTTTTTTTTTAAGATGAAATAGAAGAGAAGAATAAATTAACAATACTTTGTATATGTGTTTCCCAGAAATAAAGTGCTGGACTCAAAATAAACTTCTTCTCTCAGTTCCTCCCTCCAAAAATTCCCTTTTTACAACCCTAAAATCTCTTAATTCCGGATAGTATATTTATTCATTAACATCCTGAATTAAACAGCAACGGTTAATGCAATTTTGTTATAGTTTTTTGTTGTCCTATTAAACTAATGAAGAAAATATCTGTAATCCAAAATTTTAAAATATGTTTCATATATTTTATGTTTCTAAAATTTTAAAAATAAATTGATCTTTTTTGGTATTTTTTTAGCCAACTCAAACTGTAATGCCTGGTCAAGTAATGCGAGTTACAACTGGTGCTCCAATACCCTGTGGTGCTGATGCTGTGGTGCAAGTGGAAGATACAGAACTTATCAGGGAATCTGATGATGTGAGTGCTACCAAAACATTTGTTGTTGCTATATCTGCAGCAGTCCAGCTCCAAGGAATAATCCATCAGTCTGTAACCCTACTACATAGATACAAACTTGCATTTGCACATTTGAAACAAAAAACAGTATCAGCAGTTGTAAGGTCTAGAGCAGGGGTAGGCAACCTTGGCTCTTTTATGACTCGTGGACCTTAACTCCCAGAATTCCTGAGCCAGCATGGCTGGTTCAGGAATTCTGGGAGTTGAAGTCCACGAGTCATAAAAGAGCCAAGGTTGCCTACCCCTGCTCTAGAGACTGTAGACCATATATGAGAAGGAGCTGCATACATATGAGAAACAACAGCTTATAAATAATCGTAAATATATAAATATGCACAAAGTTAACTTTTGAGATAAAGGGGAAAAAATTCCCCACTTCCCTCAGAACATTTTCACTTGGTTGTATTCTAATGGAACAAACCTTAAAATGGCTTAAATTCCAGCCATAGAAATATACGGGAATTCAGAAACAACTTCTAGTTCCCTACATTAGAATCTTAGATAAAAGATAAAGAAGTGATTCCCCTCTTCCTTTATCCCCCCCCCCAAACACACAAGAAACAATGGGGTGGCAGCTCATGCTGACTCCCATTAACCCAACAAAATATTTGAACAAGAGGAGAATTTTTAAAATTGTTTGAAAAGCATTAAATGTAAGGAATTTGTAATGATTACCTAACAAATTAAAAATCATCTCATTGGGAGTTTTTGTGAATTCAGTGGTAATTAGCACTTATTATGGACTAACACTTCACCCTGGTTTACAATAATGCTCACCTGCGCACCGCTAAATGCACCCAAGAACTTTTGAAGCAGTTCGGTTGGGATGTTTTTGATCACCACCATCACCACCCCATAGCTCAGATTTGGCACCAGGCAACTACTAAGGAATTCCAAACCTTGAAAGACATTATGACGTGCCTCAATTTGAATGGCGATTATGTCAAAAAGTAATGTAATGTTGTAGTTTTCTAATGTATATAATAAAAGTTCTGCATCTGCAATTGTCTATCATTGATAACCAAATGAAGGTTTATTTCCGAATTGCCCTCGTAAATGCATCCTGAATTCTAATAGCAACAGAACATAAAGTGAATATCCATCAAAACTCAAGCCAAAACATTAACATAGTATTTTGTCTTTATATATTTGTTATATAGAACCTCAGCAGCATTAGCACTATGTATGTGAAACTGTATTAAATATAGCCAGACACCTTTACATTTAGCTACCTAGTGTTAGTTTTATTTACTTACTTTTTATTATGGACAACTTTCCTGCAAATAGCAGCAGAAAACCAATGAGATATGTAACCCTCTACATAAGTTCTGACTTTCCTATAGGAACTAAGTTTTTAAACTGGCAGAACGAGGCAATAAAACTGAGTCAACAATGGCTCTTCAGCTCTCAGCCTACTAACTGTTCCTACCTTATCCCATTCAGTATAAAGTATTAACAGAATAAATATAACGTACAACAGAGAAAACTGGAAAGTAAAGAAAAATTCAAGCACCAGAAAGGTCCAGTCATAATGCCCACATAATGCTGCTGAAGCTGGTAACATTTTGTTCTGAGCATTGAATAAAAAGAGCATGAAATAAAACTCTCAAAACATACAAGCTTTATTTCAAATTTGGAACATAGGATCATATTTGGAATATTTTGTGCCCACAAAAAATGTACACCCCTCTNTGGAATCCATTGAATATAGAATTTGTTTTGATCATGCCCTAATTGGTTTGAAAAAAGAATGAAAAGACTGAGGGATACATGCAGCGAAATATTAAAAATTAAATTTGCAGTGTTTTTCTTATGCTTCATAGGTATACGGAAAAAGGACAGTATAAAATTTACTGTTAAACAAGTTTGAGAAATACTGCTGTACTTTTAACTCCTGTAAACTCTTTTTACTATGAGATTTATAAATATAGAAATAAAAAGAGAAATGTGTTAAAGATTAATGTACTATTAATTTAATTTAAGGTTGGCAAATCTCCAGCCCATAGACCAATCACCAGGCTTTCCAGCTTTCTCTTAATATATTCCCACAATGTTCTATCTCTAAGTTATTGCTGGTATTTATTTCTTGATCTATTGTGCAGCTACAAATTTGATGGAGGAAACTGCACAATTTCAGAAAGGAAATAGCAGTGAGTTGGGACTTTAATCAGAATTTGATAAATATGCCATAATGGACTCAGAATAATACTCTAAGCCAGAAAGAAATTAACAGTATTATGTTAAAGCCAGTCATTGCCTTTAATAGATTTAAACTTCTAGCCCACATGAACAAGTCTGCTGAGTTCATACTATACTGTGATGTAACCTGAAATCTCTCTTATTTCCATAAATATAGGGCACTGAAGAACTTGAGGTACGCATTCTGGTGCAGGCTCGACCGGGTCAAGATATCAGGTTAGTGAATTAATTATCTTTACATTTAAAATGAATAATAACTATTCAATACCTATAATATTAATAGCTTTTGAAATGTTATAAAGGAGATGTTCATTTTGTTAGTAATTTAATTTTTTTCATATTCAGGCCTATAGGACACGATATTAAAAGAGGTGAATGTGTACTGGCCAAGGGAACCCATATGGGCCCATCAGAGATAGGTCTACTAGCAACTGTTGGAGTAACCGAAGTTGAAGTTAACAAGTTTCCAGTAGTTGCTGTAATGTCTACAGGGAATGAAGTAAGGAAATATATAACATTTATAAATTGTCAAAAAAGCATGGTAGAATTCTTCAAAAATAATGGTTTTATAGTTCTGTTTTGATTATAGTTGAACAATCTCTTTGATTAATTTTTGCAACCTCTTTATTGGTAAAATAGACATTTTAAAGATTTAATATAGTACTTTGAAATATCTGGTGTCCTAAAGAACAGTAAAAGGTATATTTACATTATATGTATAATATTGAGTTTAAAGTTTGTGAACCCTTTTGACTTTTCAATATTCCAGCATAAATATGACTTAAAACCTGATCTGTTTTCCACACAAATCTTAGAACTAGATAAAGAGAATCTAAGAAATGAGTCAAAAATACTTTACTTTTTGTTTACTTATGGAGGAAAAGTATCTAAAAATACAAAATGTATGTGAATCTCTAGGTTTATCAGTTCATTTGAAGAGGAAATTAGAGTTAATTGTTTCAATCAATGGAATGATTCTTAGGTGTTAAAGTGGGTAGTCCTGCCTTATTTAAAGAACAGAATTCTGGATATTCACTATCAAAGTCTTGTTTTTACAACACAGGTATGTAGAAGTATGTTGTGCTTGAATAAGGATCTCCAATAATAAAAGGGATTGATGCTCATCAGGCTGGAAAAGGTTAAAAAATTAATTCCAAATAGTTTGCAAAACATAATGGTAGCAGTATTGCTATTTGGGCCTGCTCTTCTGCCTATGGACCAGGACAGCTTACCAATATTAATGGAACTATGAATTCTGAATTGTGTCAGCAATTCTACAGGAAAATATCAGGATGTCTTTCTGTGCACTGAAGCTCAAGAAAAAGTTAATCATGCCTGAAGACAAAAACCCAAAATTCACAAGTAATATGATCAAGAAATGGCTAAAACAGAAGAAATTTAATGTTTTGGAATGGCCAAGTCAAACTCCTGACCTTAAACTTCTGGAAAAAGTTGTGGAAGTGCCTGAAGTGAGCATATCATGAGAGGAACGCCACCAACATCCCCAGATTGAACTATTCTGAAAATAGGAATGGGCTAAAATTCCCCCACGCCCATGTATAAGACTGATCAATATTTGGAGGAAACATTTTGTTGCAGTTACTGATGCCCAAGGGATGGGGGGACCAGTTACAGAAAGCAAAGGTTCACATACTTTTGCCCCACACAAATATTAGGTTTGGATCATTTTCACCCATAAATAAATGAACAAGTGTGATGTTTTTATTAATTTATTTAATTGGGTTTTTTAATCAAGTTGTAGAACTTCTATGGAAGACAGATTAAAGCTTAAGTAGTATTTTTGCTGAAATATTGAAAATTTAAAGGGGTTTACACATTTTTATGTATTACTGTATGAATCTCACAAGTAAAAAACCCAAAATTTGTGTGAATTATGAAGTGAGAAACAGAAATGGCAGCGAAACTGGCCAGAGATTGAATCCAGTTCATCGAACAGTTAAGCAGTACAAAATCTGAATGACTTTTATTTAATGTTACATAAATGGTAGAATTTTCTCTCCATCATGGCCCCTATAAATCTGTTCCAAAAGGTCCTTTAACCCACACCAGGCTGCTTTGTGGGCTTACAATATGTAGAAAGATACGAGATGACTTTCCATTAGCAAAATCACATGACTAATAAACATAGCTGGGTGCAATTTGGTATGTGCAATCTTTTATGTACTAATAAAGGAGAATATTTGTAGCTCAGGGTTGAAGTCAGAGGTCCTTGGTGCTCTCTGAGCTTGGTTGTTTGATTGTAGACGTTCCATTACCCAAATTAGGTAACCTTATCACTGAAGCTATGTGCATACTTTCGAAGATAAAATCCCAATAGGAAATTAAAGGAAGAATGGATGATGAGGATGTGAAAGAGAAGGAGTAGAAGAATAATTGAGACAAGAGGGACATTTTTAATTTGGGAAAGCATCATGCAAGGCTATATGTGTCCCACCATGTAAAATGTTGCTAGTAAAATTCCATCAACATAATTCTCCTCAACAACTTCAAACAAGATCTTAGCAACTTCTTTTAATATATGGGAAAGTGCTTGAATTTAGACATTACCAAATCTTCAAGAAATTGTTTTTTTCAAAATAGTAATGCACACATAAGTGAATACCTGTTCACAGTCTTAAGATTATTATATGTAACAAATGTGGTTTCACAATTCAATTAATTTGACTATATTCCTAATTAGTTACTTTGACTCATTTTCCACATAATACTATTACATTAAATACATAAGCTCAAAAAACCCCAAGATCTAGATTTCTGCACTTTCTCCCTCTGCCTTTCTACTATATGTGTGTATCACTGTATTGTAAATATTTATTTTCAGTGCCCCCAAAAGTTGGTTTGCTATTGCTGCAACAAATCAGCAAGAAATCCCAGTTATTTAAAGATACATTTTCTATTTTTTTATAGTTATTGAATCCTGAAGATGACTTGTTACCAGGAAAGATTAGAGATAGTAATCGTTCTACTCTTTTAGCAACAATTCAAGAGCATGGATATCCGACAATCAACCTGGGGATTGTAGGAGATAAGTATGTGCAAATTAACTCTTTGCTTTTTCCACCACAATATTATTGTTTTTATATATCGTTAAATTGTGCCACCTTTTACCTCTTGGACCAAAGTTTATTTAGCTGATGTTTTTGTTAATTTACTTTGAAAGATATACCTGTATATTGCTGGGAATTATCACTATTACCGTACCAGTCATTTCACCTTTCTAATGGGAAGAATCTTATTTCTTATCCTTCAATTTTCCACAACTAGCTTCTTTTGAGGAATGTAGCTCTTGATGGTGAGAACTTGATAACTTGATATTTGGTTAAAATTCCATTGTTGCATTAATGGTTTGCTCTGCCTAAAGCATTTTTTGGCCATCACTGCAACCTAAGCAGAAATAAAACAATCAATCCAAGAATGGCTACTTCTAGCGTGAATAACTGGATGGGCTAAACATCAGTACAGGGTAGTCATCAACTTATTATCATTGATTTAACAACTTTTTGAAGTTACAACAGCACTGAAAAAAGTGTTTTATGACCGGTCCTTGCACTTACGACTGTTGCAACATCCTAAAGTCATGTGAACAAAATTTGGGCAACCAGCATATATTTATGATGGTTGCAGTGAACACCATTTGTGACCTTTCAAGGGGGCTCCAACAAAACAAAGTCAATGGGGGAAGCCAGATTCACTTAATAACCATGACAAAAAAAGGTTGTAAAATTGGTCAAGACTCATTTAACAAAGCACTGCTTAACAGTCCCCATTGTGGTAATTAAGTCAAGGACTACCTGTGTGGTAAAAGTTTCTGTTGTCACAGAAACATTTACTATGGAAACTTTTATACCCAGTCAAAAAAACATGCTGTTTTTTAAAATAATGCTTTTAGGTATACATGGGGTAGACTAGATTAATTTCTCTGGTTGTTGATTTCAATCTGATGAATGTCCTTTAAAATTTATTGTAGTATTTTTCTATTTCCATTGTTTCTTCTTTGATTGCATATGAAAACATGTCCTCTTAAATTTCCCAATTTTTAGAAGTAGGAATGTTCTCATCTTCATTGTAATCATTATTTTAGTGTGCTTTTGTTTAGAAGTCAAGACATTCCTTTGAACTGAATTTCATTTAAATAGACAACTTTAGTGGAGGACTACTTTTCCTTATGTTAACTTATAAATGATGAGTCATTGGGAGTTTTACTTACTTTAAAGGCAATTATTATTATACTGATTATGTGAACTCATTAAGACAATCAGACTCAGTGTTAAAAACTTTTAAAGTTACAATTTCAAAATTGTTTGACTCCTCCCTTGAGCTCAGCCTGGTCATCTCTTACAATTTGAAAAGAAAGCTATAGTTTATGGAAAGACATCAAGACATACAGGTACAATTGTGCCCCAAATCTCTGTTGCTAAGTAAGACAATTGTTAAGTGAATTTGCCCCATTTTATGACCTTTCTTGCCAGTCAGCATGTGAATCATCGTAGTTGATAAGTTAGTAACACAGTTGTTAAGTGAATCTGGCTTCTCCATTGACTTTGCTTATCAGAAGTTTGCAAAAGGTGATCAAATGGGACACTGCGTATGTCATTAAATACACACCAGTTGTCAAGTGTCCTAATTTTGATCATGTGGCCATGGAGATGCTGCAATGGTCGTAAGTGTGAAAATGGTCATAAGTCACTTTTTCCAGTGCCGTTACAACTTTGAATGGTCAATATTTGAATGATTGTAAGTCGAGGACTGTAATTCATCATATGATTTCTAATCAGTTAAATAATTCTGCTAAATATTTGTCCGCTGTCTAGTTTATTTAAAGTCAGGTATAAGTTTGAATTCAGATTATATTTTCTAAGCAAGCAAACAAAACCATTAATATGAAAATCAGATTAAGAATCACACAGTGCTATGGCATTGTCTCCCTATTCAAGATATAAAAATACATGCTAGGAATTACAGCCATAAGCTGTATTACCATACTCTAGTTTATATCTCTAAAACTACAGTCTATACATATTAAGACATGGAAGCCACTGAATTTAGTAGGGTTATTTATAGTTGGGAGACAAAAAATGTAAACTAAAACAAGAAGGTTCCTTATTTACTAGTAGTTGACACTCCTCAACGTAAATCTGGGAATCAAATCTGCACAACTTGGGTGAAGTAGGGATGGAAACTGGATGCAGCAGGGCATAAATTCAACTCACCACGACTCCACCACTTCTGTTTTTCATTGTATCTATCAGACTTGTTTAAGACACTATCAGCATTTTCTCTGATAGAATATTGCATTATTCATTTCTCATACTCTTGATTATAAAAATGAAGGAGTAATTTGTTATATGCAGAAGCCAGTTTGTTTTCAAAGCAGTAAATCAGGTCTATAGTTTATTGCATTCTGCCTCTGTCTCTCTTGCTCTATTGGCCAAGCTGAAGTACAGTTCAAGTCCCCATACATCTGCTTTGCAGTTTGCAACACTAGAGTTTTGTGGGCTTATGGGAAACCCACTTACTCATAATCTTGATTCACTCTGTCTCTTGGTGCTGGAACTCAAAATTCCCTAGCAGGTTGCACAAGCAATTTGATCGGTAAATCTGTTCTTTCTAGTTCTTTAAATTCCTGTAAAGAACAGGATCAGGTTTTTTTTCCTACTTAAATAAAATCTTGCTTCCATACCTCAGAGCTCAAGTGAGCCGTTATATAGATACATACAGCTGTACAATATCACACTAACATCACATAATTTTTCAGCAGAAATTTATAAGCAGGAAGAATGCTTTCATGCCTAGATAACTTTCTTGAACCCACAGCTCAGGGGATTTTGTTTTTGTTTTTGTTTTGTTCACTTTCAGATAGATTATAGATTTCTACTATTTTCCTTCTTTTCTGTGTATGTTTTGTATAATACGAGCGCAATTTGGAAATAAACCTCTGTTTGGTTATCAATGACAGACACTCATAGATACAGATCTTTTATTACACACATTAGAAAAATACAACATTACATTACTTTTCGATATAATCGCCATTCAAATTGAGGCATTTGTCATAACGTCTTACAAGATTTGAAATTCCTTAGTAGTAGTTGCTCGGCACCAAATCTGGGTTATAGGGGGGGGGTGATCAAAAACTTCCCACTGGAACTGCTTCAAAAGTTCTTGGGTGCATCTAACGGTGTGTGGGCAAGCATTATTGTGAGCCAATACCACACCAGAAGTGATGCCATAGAAAATCCCACCAAATGTGAAGATGCTAAAAGAATACTGCTAGTGAAGTTCATGGAGAGTAGTTCGACCATCAATTCAGAAGTCTACGTGAAACATGAAAACTCAGATGAGCCATCCATAACAAGCGTCGGGGCATGCTGACTTCCAATGTGGTGTTGGTTCACGATAATGCTTGCCCGCACACCGCTCGACGCACCCAAGAACTTTTAAAGAAGTTGCATTGGGATGTTTTTGATCACCCCCCATAGCCCAGATTTGGTGCCAAGCGACTACTACTAAGAAATTTCAAATCTTGTAAGACGTTATGACAAATGCCTCAATTTGAATGGCGATTATGTCAAAAAGTAATGTAATGTTGTAGTTTCTAATGTGTATAAAAAAGTTCTGTATCTGTGAGTGTCTGTCATTGATAACCAAACAGAGGTTTATTTCCAAATTGCCCTCGTATCATGATACATTGTAAGACAATTCATTATAGCAGGGCTCTCCAACTCCCGGTCTGCGGCCCGGTATCAGGCCGTAGCCTGTTGGGAACCAGGCTGGGCAGATGGCGGGTGAGCATGCAAATGAAGTTCCATTTGTATAAGCAGAGACCAGGCACACAAAACCATTCCCCTCCCCACATTGCCACTGCTGCTGGTCCACAGAGCTGGAAAGAGTTAGAGACTGCTGCATTATAGGACTCTGTTGTTACAGTTGGAGACAGAGTTTCCAAAGCTCCTTTATAATAATTGATTCCTCATTTAGTGAGAATTGTATTTTTGAAATGTTAATATCAGACATGATGAAAACAAATTTCAACGATTGAGCGAATCAACTGAGGAAAAAAGATTAAGGCAAGAGGATATTATAGGAGTGATCTGTGGAATTTGTTAATGCTCTATAGAGAAGTAAATTGGAACTGTACTGTGATTCAGCTCCCAATGTCCCATCCTCTCATGCCATATTGTTTCATAATAGCTATGTCTTTTAAACTTGTATAAAAGACTGGTGGTATAATCAGGTTAATATGGTTGATTGCTAGATTTAATGAGCAAGTTAATGAAAACTCTTCATATGGGATTAAGCACTTACATCAGCAGAAATAAGTAATCTAACCAAGAGAGATTTTAAATGAAGGTCAAGTAAAATGCTGCTCTACTTTGGCTTATTGAATTAAGACTTGTGTTGGTTAGACTTTCTTGATTTGTTAAACATGTGTATGTCTGTTTGAGACTGAACGGCCATGCCGGAAACTTAAAAGTTCAGAGAAAAAGCCAAGCTACACTTTGTCCCCTGACATCCACTTGTCACCCAGAGGCAGTTCTTAGCTGATGCTTAATTATTTCATGAATGAAGGCAAACTTCTGCTAGAGACAAGTTCCCTGAGGATGGGCTCCAGCATGAGTCCGAAAGGTCTGAAGAGAAAACCTCTGGTCCCAGTGACTGACACAAATTGGATCCTTAACTTTGTTTGTTTTTCACATTTTTGAATCACCTGTCTCTTCAAAAAGGGACTCAGGGCAGTATACAATTAAATGTTAAAATATAAAAACAGTATATAAATGTTAAAATGTTAGAATTAAAATTTTGGAAGAAGACAAGAATAAAAATTAAACCCTCTTAAAGAGGTGAAGGGAGGGCTCTCAGGGCAACTAGCCAACTTTATGCTCCTTCGGGCTCCTCTCATGAGGAAACAGAGCTTGTTTTAACTCCTCTTTAGAAGGCCAGGACAGGGGAGGGTCTGCTTCGCCTACAGAGGAAGAATATTCCACCGAATAGGGGCAATGACAGAGAAGGCTATCTAGACCCCACCAGT